GAGAGAGAGAGGGAGAGAGAGAGAGAGAGAGAGAGAGAGAGAGAGACAGGAGCCAGGAAAACGACAGCGACCACGACGACGACGTGGACGAGGACGTTGTTAAGGACGTGGCGGACGAGGACGGATACGAAGACGAAGACGCTTACAAATAGAGATACTAGAACGTGTTGTACGAGTGTGGGAATAATAAGGGTGAGTGTAGGAGGAGGTGGTGGAGGAGGAGGAGGAGGAGAGGCAGGAGGAGAAGGTGTATGGAGAGGAGGAAGTTATAGAGAGAGAAGCGCCCCTGGAGAAGGAGGTTGTGGTGGTGGTGGTGGTGGTGGTGGAGGAGGTGGTGGTGGAGGAGGTCGAGGTCAAGGAGTCGAAAGCGGAAGTGGCAGTAGTGGAAGAGGAAGTAGGTAGTGTGCGCGGTAGTCGTGTTGTGTCGCATAGTCGGGAAGTGATGTGTTCGATGGACGGCGCGCGTCTCGCGGGCGGAGGTTGGGGTATCACTACCGTCACGACGCATTCGGGATCGGAGAAACAAGGCGGAATATCGGTGACCAGGCTGGCGGGCGCTGGGGAAACGGTTCCAAGGGCATGGCGACCACGCCAATAGGCGGTCGCCTCCCTAACGTTAACCGCAAAGGACCATCGCCGGATTTTCTTAATTCGCGTAGACAAATCGGTAGGGAGCAGCAGCAGCAGCAGCAGCAGCAGCAGCAACGGGATCAGAGAGAGAAATCTAGTGCGGTAGCAGCGGCAGCGCTAGTGGCAGCAGCAGGAGGATCCGGGAGCCAGGATAGCCAGAAAGCAGGCACAGTGGCTGCTAACGCCGGGGAAACGGATCCGGCCGCGACGAATGCGACCAACAACTTCGAGTACGACGACAACGAATGGGACATCGGCATAGGAGACCTGATAATCGACCTGGACGCCGACATAGAGAAGACGAGGGACGAGAAACTGAGCTTGGGGACAGGGACAGGCATGGCTTCTACGCCTGCCTCGGCAACTACGAACCCAAACCAGATCCAGAACGCCTCCGGCCTGAACTCCAACAGCAACGGTAGCACCAGCAGCAACAGCAGCAGCGCCAGCAGCACCGGCAGCAGCACCGCGAGCAGCAACGGTAGCGCCGGAACCGGCTCGAACGGAACCGCGAGTAACGGAAGCGCCAGCAGCGCCGCCAGTAACGGCACGGCCGGCACCGGTGGCTCCGGGGGGAATTCGGGTTCCTGTGCTAACTCTTCGAACGCCACCAGCCCAGCCACCCAGAGCCCAGCATCGGCGACTTCGGGGAAGACGTCCGGCGCGAATGCGGCACACCCCAACCCTGCGAACCCGAACAAAATGGCTGTTGAACACTCGGCCACCGTCGACAAGGGCCTCAAGATGAAGATCAAGCGCACGAAACCCGGCACCAAGACCAGCGAAGCCAAGCACGAGATCGTTAAGTCCAACGAGCTGAACGGAACCACCTCCCAGGACGGTACCGCCACTCAGAACTCCCAGAACTCCACGGAGAACCCGGGCTCGAACAAATCGAAGCCACACTCGCCCGCCTCGGCGGCGAGCGCCCCGACGCCCTCGGCCGTTGGCTCCAAGAGAGGATCCAGCGGTCATCGCCGTGACAAGGCACGGGACAAGCACGAGAAGCCCCAGAGCACCCACGCGCCCCAACAGACAAAGCCGGAAATGAACGGCACTGCCAGACCCAGCCCGCAGAGTCAGTCCTCGGCGACTGCTGCCTCCCAGGGCCCAACGCCGGCCGCCACGGCCCCCCAGCAACCTCAGGGTCCACCACCCAGCTCGAGAACGGGATTCCCAGTCTCCCAAGGGCCCGGACCACCTGCCACCAGCGCGGCAGCACCCTGTCCGCCCCCCAGTCCGGCCAGCGCGACGGCCGCGGGTTCCGCCGCGAAACCGGAGCAGACCAAGGTCGCCGCCGTACCTGGACCACCCCTCACGACCCCGGCCGAGGAGGCGATGGACACCGCGGCCAGTCCACCACCTCCGAAGAAGCTCAAGACATCCAACTCGAACTCCGAACCAAAGGTAAGCCTCCCCTATGCGAATGGCTCCTCCTATGCGACCACAGTTATACATTACATACGTATCTCCATGTGCGCTGCATCTTCTCTTGTTCTCTTCTCCTTACTTTTTCTTCTCCTCCTGCCGATCAGGCTAAACTATGATGCATGACGGATTAGTCGAGAATGGTTCTTCAAAGGTCGCGCTCGGCAAGACCAACGGAACCTTTTTAAGGATTATTTATTATTTATCTCGTCGGAGCCTCGAGCTACCCTCTGATTAAGTTATAAATCCTACCACTGTCATCCGCGCTTCCACGTGACCGTTACACAATCACGTTATGACGTAATTATGAAAATCCAATTAATCACCACACAGATCCCTCCCCTGCGACCCCCTCTAGAGTATACTCATTAAATACAACATACCCTATATCAGTTTTTTTCCACAAAAATTCTACACCAATTCATAGTTGCTTGCATTAAAAACGCGAAATTCTATCACTGCGCCTCACACGGTATTTGCATTCACAAAATTTTCACACACTTCATCCCCCGTGCGCTCGCGCTATTAATAATCAGCTGACAAGATACACATATGCATACCTCCTATGCTATTGGCGGCATTCACCCACGCGAATCAGCTTACGCTACGCACTACCTCGTAAATTCATATATTCCCTGTACGCTTAGCCTCTCCTCTTTAGATGCCAGTACCTGCAACAGGCCGCGTTTCTATGTCTCGTACACGTGATCACACGTGTCTCTTAACTACCTGCACAGATAGAAGTAATATATTTTCGTTGTAAAACCCTCCGTGCACCGCCTTGACACACATCCCGTACCACTGAATTACAGGCAACGCATACACCATCGGGCATTCTCCAGGATTTACTCGAACGTCTCTACTCATTCTTATATATATATATCTATTAATATATATACACATATTCATCCACCACGTATCATTATATACAGAAGAAATATCCTAACGACTATTCGCAAAAGACTTCGCAGCTCAGCTCTGACTCTGTGACGACAGATTGAGACGAGACTCCGACATCCCAAGAGGGATCCAATGCCCCAATGCCACGGCAAGGCATTCCTTTACTCCCGGTAGGATTATCACGATTTCCTATGGCACGTTAATCATTCCGAGGTACCGGTTTATATCCCGAAATGGAATACAAAGAAACGTGTGTATATAAGTATACAGAGAGGGAATGGAGCATGAGAGAGAAAAGGAGAGAGAGAGAGAGAGAGAGAGAGAGAGAGAGACAGAGTTATTTCGAATAGAGTATGGGAAGAGGGTCTAACGAGAGTCGAGAGTGGGCGTAATAATCTCTGAACAGGGTTCACCAGTGCTGCCTCGTATATACAAGACACAGGGAACACTAATCGAGAGACTTTACGGATCATTTTGTCGAAATGAAATCCCACTCGGGTACACTCGGCTCCACTCGTGCTTGAGGTTGTCGGTAAACACGGCTGGTAATGCAGGAATCTTCACTAGTATTTCATATACTGCCGTTAAGGATCTTTCACAACGCCTGGTATTTTGAGTTTGGTAGCTGAATTAATTCTCGTGGGTGGATTATTATTTTTTTCTGCTTGATTCGCTCTTTTTTTAAATTTTATTTTACTGAATCACTGGTTTTTTTTCCTCTATAAGGCCTATATGGGTCTTCGTCAGTTGCGTGCTTGATTTGTAAAAATTAACATCTCCTTGTCGGACGGTCACCGCACACGTAATTCTTACTTGACGCGTCGTCCACCCGTTGACTCGTGCGATTGTTTCAGAGGCTGTTACTTATTGTTCACCCGGTATTAGAGTGCTTGGCTCGTGTGTACACGGTTTACAGCGGGCGGACGTGTAAGCGGGAAAATGATTGGCACTGACGAGCTATTATTCGCAAAGGCGACTGATGCGCTTGATCTTCAGCCGTGTGGCAGACATTTGTAAACAGTCACGTCAGTCCGTGACTCCTGTGCTTATTGCGCCTTTATTATGTCGTCGCGCGCATTATTTTTCACGAGGGCTGCTTTCGGCCGCTTTTGCAATTTCCGACGTCCCAAGGTGTATACCATCAGCGTGTGCTAAGCTGCAAGATACTTTGTATTTTAATTTTCCACTCCGAGCGTCAAAGTTCAGTGATTTTTATTACGTGAAATATTTTCAAAGGAGGCTGAAAGGTCATTTATTTATTTATTTTTTTCCCTGATACATTAAACGCGCCGATCGTCTCTCTCACTGGCCGATGGTAATCCGAGCGTTTAAAAGGCTCAGCGAGGACGTTGATATAACTGGATTGGTCCTGGTCCGTGTACTTTAGGGGATTGGTGTTTTCCCTCGATACCGAAAATAGCGGGTGGTTTGGTAAATGACGATTGCGATCGATATATATATATATTTGAAGAGAGAGGAAACGCCGTGGTTTCCCGATATAAAAATACTTGTCATCTTTCATAGCCGCGTTTCCAGCACATTTTTTCCACGTCAATTTCCCACACCATAACGGTATTCGGCCCTGAGCCTTTGGGGCTGGATCGTCGGGCTGGGTGGGTCGTTGGTTGGCTGGTTCGCTGGTTTCTCTGATGGTGCTAGTAGTCGTGCAGCCACTGCCGCCGCTACTGGTGGTTGGTTCGAAAGCAATGAGTATAGTAATAGGGCTAGTACTACCAGGGGGCGATAGTAGTAGCAGCAGCAGCAGCAGCACTGGTAGTAGTCCGTAGTATCAGGGGGTAGTAGTATGCAGTAGTAGTAACTCGGAGCTCGAGTAAAATTGAGGTAGCGGGGTAAAGGGGGGTGGGGGGTGGTAGGTGCGGAGGGCGTAAACTTCAGGGATGAGAGGGGGATGAAATCAATACTCTGCGGTCTCCGCCCCCCAGGAGTACACGGATGAATACAAGCACAGGGGCTCCGCTCCAACCCTCTAGCCAGTAGCCGTGTGCACGCACGTGGCCGTCCGTGTGTGTACTAGGTGCCACCCTCCTCCGTCCTTCTTCTATCCCTCGGAAATGCCCTCTTCGCCCCCCGTCGACATTTCTCCCTGTCCACCCAGCCATCCCTTCTGCCATTTCAAAATTACGACACTGATGCGAAAGCTCTCTAAATGAAATACTTTCATCTGACCGAGTCGAGATGTTTTCTATATAATAGAATTCCCCCCGTCCCCCTTCGCCTACCCTCATCCATATTATCGCGCGCTCAGGTAGTCCACCCTATTTTTAACCGAATTCTCGACAATCTCGCAGCATCCCGCGCATATTCATACAGGCTGGTTTTCGAAGTTTAGCCGTCAGACCGGATTATATTGCTGTATCGGAGCTATTTTTTTGAATTTTTTTTTTTTTTTTTTTTTTTTTTTTTTTTTTTTTTTTTTTTTTTTTTTTTTTTTTTTTCTCGTTTTCGATTCCTCAATTCACTGCTCCTTGTGGGATTTCGTTACTTTGACGGTGACGTTTAAATGTAATTCCTGGGTTCTTTTTTTTATCGTCGCCTTATCGACAAAGCATTTTTTTTTTTTTTTTTTTTTTTT